CAAACAGTCAATGTAGAGGAAAAACTTTATTATGGGAAACCAAAGAAATAAAGTGGGTACACTTCTTGTACGTGGTTAAAAAACTTGCCAAGATTAAAAAGAGGTTTAGAGGTCCTAAAATCGTAATGCATGCAGTAGAGGGAATCGTCCCGTATGGCTACAGAATAGTCAGCCATTGGAACCATGATAAAGTCTCAAAAACTGTTTCAACTTCCACCACATAGCTTCTACATTGTTTGTGTGCACTCCGGTTGTCGAGTGCGAAAATGCCACTTGTGGACAACGACACGATGCATATAACCAAGCCTATGTAGGGGTCTGTACGCTTGCTGCAGCCAGTGTTACTGAGGCTTTCATTACCCGATTCGAAATAATTGTCATAATTTGCATTAGTTAGAAATTATACAAAGGTTTTTCATCACGAACTAACATCAGCTATAATGCCAGAAATCTATGGACGAAAGGCTTTCCCGCCAAAACCTGAGATCTGTTATCTTATACATGATTGACTCGTTCACAAACTATAGTCTCGCCGTTTTATTTGTTATAGCCGCTCAATTATCACGTTTTGTTTACAATTCCCTGTGAACCCAAAGTACGTTAACATTAAACACTGAAGTTTAGCGCCTTGACTTTGAAATCTCTCAAACGCTTCTGATTGGCTCATCCACAAATTAAAGTCTTGCCCCTCAATATCACAGACTGATTGACTTATTCCCAAACATCAAGAGCCTGATACAAACAAAATGTTCTGCCTCACAAACATGGGTGGATTGAAGTCGTTGCCTTCACCATCAATGCTTGCTGGTCAGTAACTCCACCTTCCAACCTTTTGTGACGTTAGGTTCATTTAAACTTATTTTTTGAATATATATCATACTTCACACAAGGCTCTGTGTTTCACATCCTGTTGGAAAATACTATTTCTATAAGTACCATTTTACAAGCTTACCATGCAGTTACAAACTATGGACTGTGGGTAAGTCATCGATGCAATGTTTCCGTTGATTATAGTATAAATTATAGGTTGCTAACCAGAGAATAAGCTTTAAGAAGGGTATACTGTAGGGTATTTGTTTACCAAAGTAGGCGGAAAAGTATAGAAATACATGAGTTATAGATAAGGTAAAGAGTGCTGAAATAATATTAATGGCAAGTAAACATAGTGTATTGGAGAGTAAAAGGCTGATAAAGAACAAACAAGAAAAAACCCACATTAACTTAATGTTGGTGTCGTTTTGTTCTATCCTAAGTGGTTGATGGGTAAAAGGTTCCATAGATGAAAGACCACTGGTAGTAGGTAGGCGATTGTGCGGTTCTTTCGACTTTTTATGGTAGTAGTGAGCGTATCTTAATGACTGAGTATCGATAGGTCCAGTGATTTACCTGTCTACTCCAAGTACAAAATTAGAAACGAAAACGTATCTGATACAACTACAAAGTAGGAAAATAAGGCAATTTGGTCTATACATGTAGAGATCCTGTGATATTTCTGTGGGTCGCAGATGTGATCGTTTGTGCTAGATCTCTGCAAGTGAGGGCTTGATCAATAAGTTTTGCAAACGTATGTAATTCATCTGTCATGCGTATTTCAGAGGGGAGACTGTACCATATTAATGCATACCTAATGAGAAAGAAGTTTTTTCGAGTTTTTGATTTGTATTTCTCAACTTTGACCGTAGGTACTTTGTTTTGAAGGGCATATTCATGTGTGTCTTGGGCAAGAGCTATATTACATATGGAATAAGTAAGGTTTGTGAGTAGTTTGAATTAAAGAATCAAATTGGACCTTAGCCTTCTTTTCCAAAGGGGTTCAAGTTCTAAGACATGGCATCAGGAACTGTAGTCAACAAGTGTGTCGTTCATAAGTATTTTGTGAGTGAGATCTCGTTATATTTTTTCCACCTTAAGTATATCGGATAGGTGTAGGCTGGAAAATAAGAACGAACAATATTCAACGATAGATCTTACACAGACTTTATAAAGAATGAATTTAGATTCATTTTGAACGAAATTACGAAAAATGAAGCCAAGCAATCTCCGCATTTTAGATGCTTTGGTTGAGATATGTTCAGAGAAATTATGACTGTGTGAGTAATGTACCCCAAGATCAGTTACTGATGCCAGTCTGGACAGTGTGTTCTTGTTAAGCGCTAGTTTTTTTTAAGAGACGTGTCTCCAATCATAGAGAAGTGCCCAAGGAACAACCTCAACATTCTGATGGGAGATCTAAACACCAAAGTCGGAATAGATAACACCGGATATTAAGATATCATGGAACGATATGGATTGGGAGAGAGAAACGGAAATGGAGAAAGATTTGCAAATCTATGTGCATCCAACAAACTGGTCATAGGAGGCACAATATTTCCACACAAACGTATAAACAGAGCTACATGGATCTCACCGGACCACACCACAGAAAATCAGATAGATCATATCTGCATCAATAAAAAGTTCCGAAGGACAATGGAAGATGTGAGAACCAGGAGATGAGCTGACATAGCTTTGGATCACCACATAGTTGTGGCTAATTAAAAACTGAAGCTAAAGAAAAACTGGAAAACTGGACAAGCAACACTACAAATGTTCAATACAGCCTTCTTTCGAGATACTGACAGACTCAATGAATTCAAGATAGCTCTCAACAACAGGTTTCAAACCTTACAGGATCTACTGAAGGAAGAAGAAACTACTATGGAGAACAACTGGAAAGGTATCAAAGAAGCATTGACTTTAACGTGTCAAGAGGTTCTGGGCCTAAAGAAGCATCATCATAGGGAATGGATCTCGATAGAAACACTGGACAAGATCAAAGAAAAAAAGAACAAGAAGACAGCAATTAACAACAGCCGAACACGAACAGAGAAAGTCCAAGCACAAGCTGAATACATTGAAGCAAACAGGCAAGTGAAGAAAAGCATTAGAACCGACAAGAAGAAATACGTGGAAGAACTAGCAACGACGGTGGAAAAAGCTGCAAGGGAAGGAAATATGAAACAACTTTGCGATACAACGAAGAAACTAGCAGGGAAATACAGTAAACCAGAGAGACCGGTCAAGGACAAAGAAGGCAGGCCAATCACTGAAATTCAACAACATCGGAACAGATGGGTAGAATACTTCGAGGAACTCCTGAATAGGTCGGCTCCAATGAATCCACCGGACATCGAAGCAGCACGCACAGACCTACCTATAGATGTCAATCCACCAACGACGGAAGAAATCAGAATGGCCATCAGACAAATCAAGAGCGGGAAAGCAGCAGGACCCGACAAAATACCAGCTGAAGCACTGAAGTCAGACATCGAAGCAACCACAAGCATGCTTTACCTTCTATTCAAAAAGATTTGGGAGGAGGAACAAGTGCCGATGGACTGGAAAGAAAGACACCTCGTCAAGATCCCAAAGAAAGTAGATCTGAGCAAATGTGAAAACTACAGGGGCATCATACTACTGCCAGTACCAGGGAAAGTCTTCAACAGAGCGTTGTTGAACCGGATGAAAGATGAAGTAGACGTCCAACTTCGAGATCAACAAGCTGGATTCCGTAAGGACCGGTCGTGCACAGACCAAATTGCAACACTACGGATCATCGTCGAACAATCAGTTGAGTGGAACTCCTCACTGTACATCAACTTCATTGATTATGAAAAGGCATTTGACGGTGTGGATAGGAGGATGTTATGGAAACTTCTTCGACACTACGGAGTTCTTGAGAAGATTGTCAATATTATCCGGAACTCATACGGCGGACTACAATGCAAAGTCGTGTATGGAGGACAGCTGACAGATGCATTCCAAGTAAGGAACGGAGTCAGACAAGGCTGTTTACTCTCTCCCTTGCTCTTTCTTCTGGTGGTCGACTGGATTATGAGGACCTCGACATCTGAAGGAAAACACGGAATACAATGGACAGCTCAGAATCAATTAGACGATTTGGACTTCGCAGATGACCTAGCCCTCCTATCGCTTACACAAGAAAAAATGCAGATAAAAGCAACCAGTGTAGCAGCAGTCAGTTTTATGGATGACTTTTAAGTCATCGACATAGAGCTAGGTCTTACCTGTGCTAAGGCACTTGCATATATTGATGAAGATTGTAAAGAGAAATGGGCGCAGGACACTACCCCGCACAACATCACTGGTTATTGGTCGAGGTGTAAATGTTGTAGAGTTAATCTTAGTTATTTGGTATGTTTGTGAGAAAAGTTTTGATCCATTGCAATTGGAGGCTCGTCATTCCAGCTGACTGAAGTCTGTTGATTAGGAGGTTATGAGGTACTTTATCAAGGGCTTTCGTAATATCGAAATATTGTATGACCACTAGTTTCTTTTGGTCACATATGCGAGCAACCTCGTTAAAGAAGTTTATTAGACATGTACTGCAGGATTTGTTCTAATGAAGCCATGTTGTGACGGGCCTATTAGATCTTTCGTGCCCCTAGGTAACCCTAATGCTATTGATAGAAGAAACCAGACAAGTAGTGAATAGGTCTTTATTTAGATTGCATACGAGGACAAATTACCAAAAGAATGAATTAGTTGGTAGGAAGAAAGATATGAAGTGATTTTTATCTCATAGTTTAAGGGAAGAGAGTGAGAGTGTATACACTGATGCCATTGTGATCGATTCTGAGCCATATCACCAAGAGTCTCCAACCATTGGTTACGATAGTCACGCGGACCCCAACCAAGTAGTCTGCATCTCCCAACATGTCTCAGACTAGAAGTTAGTGACTTCAAGCACTGATGCCACGTTTTGGTTTGGCCGCCCCTAACACTAAACCTTCACATAATGTGTGGATCGGGAATATGTGCGCATAAGACAAATACCATCCAATCAGAATATTTATATTTTTATCAATTAATATACAAGAAAAAAAGAGACACTTTACATCAAGATACATAATAAACTAAATTTTAATTTGAAAAGAAATCAACATTCATAATGGTGTACAGTATAACAACATTATGTAAATCTTGATCCTTGAAGTTATCTAATGCACGTCACATTCAGATGATGGTTTTAAAATATCTTTGAAATAAATTATAGTTTTACTTAATCCTTCTTGTAAAGTTACTGTCGGTTTCCAATTTAACTGTTTTATAGCTGTACTAATATCAGGTTGTCTTCGTTGAGGATCATCAATTGGTAACGGTTGATAAATTATATCACTTTTGCTGTCTGTTAGTTAGAAAACATAAAAAACAAATGGTTATTTTGCATGGCAGCCAATTCTGAGACTAACGTGCAAGCTTTCTATATGAGTGCCAAAACCATTTACTGGAGTGAAAAGCAAGCTTCACTGACTAAAACTATGTATGGTTTATGTACTACACCTATTCCAAACGTCTAAAATAATCTCGTAGCGATCTCGTGAGAATGATCGCAAATATAAGTACCTATTCATTTGCTATTATTATTTTTTTAAACATAACGTTGCGACTTGATGAATAATGAGAAATCATGACTTGAACACATTGAGTAATATTCAATAGATTACATTTGGAGATTCTACCTTAAAAATGAGTTAGATTCACCACACACACATTGGAGTACTAAGCAGAGATGATAAGTTGATTGATGAAGTAGATAACCTGCATGAATAAGGGTAATCGGATCATACAATGAGCATATGATCGGCTATCGTTTATTCTGACATAAGATACTGATTAGCATAGACAATTGATTGATTAAAGCTACTAGATTTCTTTCTACATTTAAAAACTTTCGACGTTTACTCTTACTGACATCTCGTCGTAATTATGTGAACTGTAACAACTTGAACTGATATATTCTCTGTGAATGAAACCTTGTGATGATTAGGAGTATTTGAATTATAGTATGAACTAAGAATCCCAGAAATAACGCAATTGGATCAAGAAGTACTCGATAAGCACGAACGAATGTACTGCATTTAGAATTCGAAATCAAGCATTCAACAAGTACAAAGGAATCATTAGTTCATTCAAAGACCACAAACCTTTAATTGCTTCATTATCAAAAGTCAATTCTGAGTTTGTGGTGAGGTTGTAGGTAGACACCACTGATGAGTCATATACTGGGACGAAACAGCCATTAAATGCTTGCTAGCTCTGAACGATCCTCCAACTGGAATCATAGCATGATGTAAAATCACCGGATTCAATAATTCCCATGGCATCATAATAATTGAGAAAATTCCGGACACCTCACTTAGTTATCTCAGTAGTAGAGGTAATTAGGAAAAAAATTAGAGATTAGTTTCGGCGTATTTATCCATCTCGATGTATAGTTGCAGAGTGTTAAAGATATATGTACAAGGCTGGAAACACACTGTTCCATATACCGTAGAAAGATGTGATTATTTGGGGTTTCATTTGAAAAATGAAAAACCATTGTGGTGAGCTATAAAATTAATGTAACAAGTTGGAACCATAATTTATGGACGACCTTTGAGCAACGACAAAGTGATCTTCAGCAAACCCACCAATCTACTAGGGTTTAAAGAAGGTCACAAATTAGTGTGAGAAATCGGAATCGAAATTTAGAGTTGGAAGTTAGGGTTAGGAATTAAAGTCGGAATTTTCATCATGAACTAGCATCAGCTAGATACCAAAATGGTATTTAACCATATAAGTGAGTGGATTTCGCGCCAAAATCGAAAACTCCCTATTTCAAATCTGATTGGTTACTAAATAAAAAGAAACCTTAGTTTAAAAAGACTTACCTGTAAAATTCTTGACCATGATCGCTAATTCATTCACTGTAAACTCGACAGGATTTCCCAAATTAACAGGCATTGTATAATTGGATTCCATTAAAGCTACAAGACCATTCACAAGATCGCTGATATACTGAAAAGATCTAGTTTGTTCTCCTAACCCATATACCTACATGGAGGAGGAGAGCAATAAAACGCACTTTTATAGCATACACATATTTCATTGGCAATAAGAACACTTGATGTAGTTAAGATTGATAGTATCAAATTATTGATAGGAAATACATGTTTCATCTATATTCCCCCTACTTAATCCGTGTCGGGTAGAAACAGGTGTCTACCTCAATATAATGGAAGATGGTCGCGCAATTTCGAGGATTGGTTGAGGTTAGACATTAACACCATTGAATGCCGGCTGGCTCAGTGGTCCAGTAGGTTAAGCGTTCGCGCGCAAGACTGAAGGCACGAACCCCGCGAGCGAGATCATGGATGCACACTGCTGAGGAGTCCCACAGTAGGACGAAACGGCCGTCCAGTGCTTCCAGGTTTTCAATAGTGGTCTAACATCAATCGGTTCATGATCTCAATCAAAAAATTCTTAGTTTTTTTATTACTAGTTACTGTTAATAAGTAGTTGAAATGATATTTCGGAAATTTTCTAGGTCAGGAAAAGTTGTTCAAGTACGAATACTGATTTAACTTCAGGAGGGGCACCATATAAAAGAATACTGAGATTTTTTATTACAACACTAATATAAATTGTTTCCTCATGAAAAGAGTGTTTTTTTCTAAGTAACTATCAGTGGTGATAATCTCGAATTATCAATGAGATGATTGCAACTATGAATAGTTCTATAATTAAAAACTAATTTGTTTGTAGCACTGATTTGACATTTTCATCTTGGATGATATTTGAATTGTGATTTACTGAATTCCACATATGAAAAGGCTGGCTAAAATTCTTAAATTGACTTTAAAAGCAAACATTTTAATGATAAAAGTTTTCCCATTATGAAACTTATCTTATTTAATCACTACTCTATATACTTGAAGTATTGATTTAAATTGCTATGCATTTATAAGATAATTAGTTCCATTTGAATATCGTGATTAATTGTACCTTTAAATCAACACGGAGAAAACAACGTGAAAACTCATTTTTGAACATCTATTCATAAATGATATTGCGAGAACAATACTGAATACCATTATTGTAGGCCAAATGTATTCCGCCATGGCTCTAAGCCTCACAAACTAGAAGTGAATGCAACAAGCTACTTTGAAAAAAACTATTTCTCTTTAACCTTCCAGCAGTAAAAACATGCAGACCAAAATACAATTGTATTGAATTTTTTTTACCTCACTTATAACTATTAAATCACAATATATCTAGAATATTAAAGTGGACCCAATAATGTACATGTTTAACTTGAATCAACTCACGATATTGCGTAACCATCATCCATTGCCTGAGGTGGATAGGTGTATCACATCCAATATAGTTGAGCTCTGTCGGCAACAGCTTCCTACTAGAACCATAGGAGATACACCTTGAAGTTAGTGACTAGTGAGTACATGATTATTAGTAGCATACGGAGATTCGTGAAGATGGTAGAATTTTCATAATTTGAATCACGAACAGATATTAGCTACATTACCTCTGGAAACCTGGAAGCACTGGATAGTCACTTCATCTTAGGATGGGACTCCTCAGCAGTATGTATTCACGATCCCACATACGCGAATCGAAACCAAGATCTTAGATCTCGCGCGCGAGCGTTGAACTGTTAGACCACTGTGCCGCGACCAGTGGGGTCCAACCATGTTGGGTCTGAGACAGCTACTTACATTAGGCAATTGATGATGATTAGACTTGTACATTATTGGATGCAGTTCAGTATTCTGGGTACATTGTGATTACAGGTACATCTTGCTGGCAAGTGCCATATAGCACAAAACTTAGTTCCAGGGTGTCCTGTCGACAGCCTCCAACCACCATTTGTGATTTAATTTATTTGTCTAGTTTTTTTAATGAATGGGGTACAACAGTTCAACACAATTTTATTTATTCTCTACATATTTTCACTCCTCAGAGGGTAAAGGGTATGGTAATGTAAACGAATATGCAGACAATGATAGGACAAGTATTAATAATAATTAATCTGGTTCATAGTCAACAGAACAAGACGCTAGTCCCTTGCAGAAAGGATTCCAGAACCCACTTCCATCAGAAGTTTGTGGTGATGGCGGAATTGTTTAAAAAGATAACTAAAGCTTCACGACTAAAACACCAGATCAGAAAACATAATTTTAATAAAAATTTAGTCCATTTAGGAAGAATATACTACCGTACCTTTTTCAATATGTCACTTATGACATAGTTTACTGTGGGGAGCGGCTTCTGGTGAACTCAAGGGAGCTCTGAAAGAGCCGAAGACATTCTATTCAGTCATCGTTTGAAAGAACATTCCAGAATCTCGACGTGTAGTTTCCCGATTGGACAACTGTGAAGAACCACTACACATAGACTGGATAACTGTAACGACAATTTCGTTTTTACTAAAAACTATAAATACCTGAGTGTTCTGTTCCATATTTGACACTATATGGAATAAGATTCCTTCTCACTAGTCTCCTGCCTTCTAACTTATGATTTGGAAGATTTAAACGTCCAAATGCTCAAGCTAAAATTGTACGCGGTATAGCAAGTATCTAAGATCTAGATATAACATTTACCTTTCCACTCGTTAGTTAGTTTATCATGTTATCTAATCGATTTTTTATCAGTAAATTAATTATCTTTCTCACTCTCTCTCTCACTCACACACACACACTCATTCGTTTATTATTTATTTACAGATATACCAGATCTTTTTAAACTCTAAGGTTATCCTGAAATTCCAAATAAACATTTAGTCGTTACTATGGTGTACTGGTCATCATGTCTGTCTAATGCATATACAAAAAAAATACAAATAAATACCACATAGATTTTAGTTAAATGACCTTTCAAGTGATAATATATAATATATAATAAATACATAGATTAATTACCGTAATCGATTCATTGTTTAATGCTTGTGCAATGAAATTAGTTACCACTCGACCATCATTAACTTGCATTCTTGGTCCATATGTATTGAATATACGAGCAACTCTAACAGGAAGATTAAGCTATATTGATAATAGAAAATTATAAAATTACAAACATAATTCAATTGAATAACAAATAAACTGTCTGTAAGTTTAACAATTAGATTAGTAAAATACTATCAATATTAATTCAATAGTTGATGGCCGTCTCGTCCTATTGTGGGACTCCTCAGCAGTGTACATCTCATGATCCCACCTCAAGATATTCGAACCCAGTATCTATCAGTCTCGCGCGCGCGAACGCTTAACCTCGTGGATGCGCACTGCTGAGGAGTCCCACAATAGGAGAAAACGACCATCCAGTGCTTCCAGGTTTTCTATAGTGGTCTAGCTTCAATTGACCCATGATCTCAACTACTAAATTAAAATCAATATTAGTTCATTTACCGTTACCAAAATTTATGATTAAATGATTTAGTTGAATGTGTGATAGTTTAGTGAATGAAGACTCAGGTATGGTAAACCAATTTATTATTTTCTGCAAAATCATACAGCGACTTCGTAAAATATGAAAATCATACATTAAATACATCATTTGTATATCTCCTTAAAGTTGTCCTTGACACACTGCATCATTCTTCCAATCCTGTTGTTATTTCGATTATTCTTCGTTTGCCTTCCAGTTCTCTTCATTTCAATCTTCTGCTAGTAAGTATTCCACTTCCAATTGCTGCTAAATACTATTTATGTCTGTCCGTATAAACAGCGCACACCATAATAAGAGTAAACAAACCTCTCTACCTGTCACGATTTTGAAAATCTATACAGTATATATATATATATATATATATATATATATATTGGTTGAAGGGTACATGACCTATAAAATTGAATTCCTCTGATCGTCTACGACAATAAACCATGTTTAGTTCCCTGTTAATATTTTGTATATAAGCTTGTTGTCTTATAACACAAAAATCATTTTCTGCTGAGCAGCTACCTCATCTCCTGATATCTGTAAAGTTAGAAGGTTACGTAAATAATTTGTTCTGGTGAGCAGCCATCGCCCGACTACGTCGTATCATTGCTGCATTTATTTACTGACCAGTATTGAATTGACCCAACTTAACAACCTAAAAATTCCTTTATTGAATCCTACTCCGTAATAAGTTACTCAGTTGAAAGTTCCTACTACCGATATGAAAACTATTTTATGGCCTAAAGAAAAACTAAGACAAAGACAACATTCAAACCAACAGATATCTGTTCACCATCTCTTTACTCTGTAAAACCAATTATGAAACTCAAGCAGTGAATAGATATTTGAAATACTTCAGTCATTAAGTGATGTATCATGACCCAAGAACAATAATGTTTGGTCTATTTCTTACAACATCAAGGTACGAATTCCATGGTGATTGAAGCATAACTCGGATGTGACTAACATACACGCAACAAAGTTTAAACACATAGAATCGGATTTCAAAAGAGTGAATGATAATAGAAGGGAATAAAAAAATGAAATTATATTGAAGCACAATATTTAGGTGAAGATAGAGAATAAATTCATCGGTGCCACTGAGACTTATTTTGAGCTAGGTCACCCAACGTCTCCAATCATTGATCATTTATACTGCACCGATTTCAATCAGACAGTATACATCTACCGATATGGGTCAAACCAATAGGTTGATGGCTTCGTGGATTCAAGCTACAACTTAATTTGTCAGTCTCCAATATTTTTCTCAACCTGCTTCTACATCAGCCAGATGTAGTTGAACTTACATAACATATTTTCAAATAACTAAGTACACAAGGAATCAAGTTGGTAGCCAGAAAGGAGATGGTCTGATGGAGTTTTGTTCTCTGAGTTGGATGGTTTGGTCGTGGAGCTTTCATCGTTCTTCTGAACGACATCATCAGCATAAACTTCAGATAGAAGTGAAGTGTTCGAATTTCTCCATATGCGTTTCACAGCTTGTTCTGTACACCTGCTGAGCAGCAGGAGATGGTTTGAATTTAATAGAAATTTAAAACTGAAATTATATCTCAGCAAAAAAATTTCAGCGACAAAACTTTACAAATAATGTATACTCGATCGCCTAACTCCTTACAATTGCTCCATATATAATGATGAATTACTGATATTCATCATATTGGACTGTACAGAATTACATATAAAAATTAAACTTACATGTCTAAAATAAGCATAAGTCATTGTTTCACCAAGTCGTTTACTTTCATCATAACAAGCTCTTGGACCAACTGGATTTACATTACCCCAATAGGATTCAGGTTGAGGGTGGACTTCAGGATCTTTGATTGTGCAAAAGAAAAATAACACAATGAGAGTGGAATACTAATACGCTTACATAAGCGAGTATATTGAGTGTGTAATTTATACTATGAAAGATAATACTACTTTATGAGAAAACCAAAATCCGACAATACATAACTTGCACCAGTTTGTATGAAATTTAAAATGCATAATCATATCTCTTCTACAACTATGTAGTGCATATGACATGGTATGAAAGCTTAATTACAAGAAAAATATCCTGATGTAAACTTTATCTGAAATATCGAGAGTACTTTATAAGGTTCAGGCCATAGTCAAGGGTGTTTGTAAGATCTTCCAAGGAGCTCCATAAGAAATTACCTAATCAGTACAGAGAACCAACTTTGATATTCCGGGATTTCTTTCCCTTTAAATAGCTATGCAGGATAGTGCTCGGCTGAAACAGCTCAATCCCTTAACACACGACCAAATCTAGTTGCATATCGTCATGAGAATCGTCATTCAAGGTCGTCTATAAAGTTAAAAGGACTGGATCAAAGAAAGTTTGGATGGGGAATAAACTTACACTTGGAATTATTTTTCTTATAACTATGATTGTAATTGCTAATATCTGGGCTTTGTTCAACTAGTGTTAAGTATCTATCTTCGGTTTGGAACAAAATTCCCATACTACATTCTATCTCTGTATGTTAACTCAATTAATTTAAGACTTTTCCGATGTAAAGCATTTACACTTTCGTTTTACTTATTATTCCTATGGTTTTCAGTTGTAAGCAGCTGACGAACATTCACGAAATAAGTGAATTCATGTTATTCTGCTAAGATATTTATTCTTTCTTTATTCAATTTTACAAATGCAAAAAAAATTGTACAAAGCTAATAGTAGTTCGTTATTTCAAACCCGATCTCTGTGAAGAAAAGAGTAGTGTTCAATCTCTCTTATTCCTCCATGGTCTTAACACTTCGCCTAGTATTGTAGATGGTAATACAGAAGACAGTAGGCTTTTCCATTTATAGTATTATTTATTCTTATTACTTCCAAAACTATTACATGAATGTAATTTAATGAAGAAAACTTTCTTTTCTACTATTTCATTTACTTAAGCTATACGATCGTCTTCATAGTGAATTTTCTTTATAAAAAATAGTAGTCTATAGTAAAATTGAATGGTGTTGAATAATTATTAAAAAGAAAACTTGATGTGGTAGTGGAGAAGATTTGTAGCTCAGGTAGATGGATGGTTTGGTCGTGGAGCTTTCATTGTTCTTCTGAACAACATTATCAGAACAAACTTCTACGAAAATCAGATAGGATGTTATGTAAAAATTGCCGAGTGGAAAGTGCTTAAGTGAAGATGATTCTTCACTTGATAGCTATTAAGAACAAAATAATTAAAAGTTATAATAATGGCAAATTAATAGGTGTGAAAATGATTGGAAAGGAGGCGACTCTTTAGAAATTTCATGTAATTGGTTCCCTTCATGGAGCATTATTCAAATTGAAAAGGAGTAGAAAGTCTTTTTTTTTTAAAAAACCATAGATTATGGAAGATACAAAGGAAGGTTAAGACCATGAAACAATGAGGGATTGGACATACTCTTTTTGTAAGCAAACGTTAGTCTTGAATTAGTGGTTAAAAATAGCCTCTGTTATACATAAGTTTTTTATTTGCATTCTTTTTGAGCGGACTCTTCTGACTGTATGTATAATTTTGAAAGGGGATTGTAGTGAAAAGGAAAGGCCAGAAGTAACTAGATGTTTCAAGACTGAGCTTTTGACTGACATTTGTATTCCTATAGAAAGTCAGGTAAGGTAACATTTGGAGAAGTATTTCGAAAGCTCGCTTTGTGAAACAAATATAATCTGCCCCAAATGAGCACGTAGATTGAAGAAAGAATTTTCTCTACTGAATTCCTATCATTCTTCTTCAATGATAAAATAGGCTTAGATGGTGGTTGGAGGTAGTCAACAGGAAACCCTGGACCCGAGTTTCGTGCTACTTGGCACTCGTCAGCAAGGTGTACCTGTAATCTTGAGGGAACTGGTGCTCCCTGGCGGATCCGATCTCGTGTCACCCAGCTTCACAGTCAGAGACGTTACCACTGAGCTATCCGAGCCGTGACTAACCTCCTGTAGGACTGAGATGTAATCACAATTGATTGATCACTGGGTGGTGGTCAATCTCATGCTTGTCTAGTCCTTATTAGTGCAGATCGAATGCTATCGATCATGTTGCAATGTGGCCACCAGTCTAGGTGACTCGACACTGCGGGCACTTTGTATTGAGATTAGATGGTGGTTGGAGGTAGTCAACAGGAAACCCTGGACCCGGGTTTCGTGCTACTTGGCACTCGTCAGCAAGGTGTACCTGTAATCTTGAGGGAACTGGTGCTCCCTGGCGGATTCGATCTCGTGTCACCCAGCTTCACAGTCAGAGACGTTACCACTGAGCTATCCGAGCCGTGACTAACCTCTTGTAGGACTGACTACCTCCAACCACCATCTAATCTCAATACATAGTGCCCGCAATGTCGAGTCACCTAGACTGGTGGCCACATTGCAACATGATCGATAGCATTCGATCTGCACTAATAAGGACTAGACAAGCATGACATTGATCACCACCCAGTGATCAATCAATTGTGATAAAATAGGCTTCCTTGACCATATTTCTTGATAATTTTTGGTTAACTTCGATAATGTAATAAGAAGACGAAGATTATCAGAACTATGTGATATATTAGCGCAATACATTTCGAACAATCTGGTCACACATATACTTGTTAAAAGCATTTATATATAAAAATAAAAGGTCAACTAGACAGGAAACGGGGTAAGAGGAGATAAGGATAATGATAAGAGTAATAATAATAATAATAATAATAATAATAATAATAATAATAATAATAATAATAATAATAATAATAATAATAATAATAATAATAATGTGAACACAAAGCGAAACCTAATCACTCTGGATAATAAGCCAATATTACTAGGGTAGGTTTAAGGTAAGAACTTTCGTATGGCTAAGGCTTCAATAAACCTTAGTATACGCCCTTTTTACACTTTTATACAACACTACGAAAGCTGAATTTAGATCAATCTTGTGACCTGTTTCAATTATATGTTTAGCAATAGAGGATGATGGATGTTGAATAATATTGTCCGACCGGCCATTTTTTTAAAAAAAAAATTTTCCACCCCCAAATTACAATATTTTTCATCCCGTGTATCGTCCAATCAAATGGCTTGTTTCAAATATTAGATTTAATTGGTTAGTTATGTCTTGAAAATTGTTATAAATTATCAGTACTTGTCGACGAAGCACCATCTCAATCGTCATTATGGAGCAGAGTAACGTGACGAGTACAAGCGCTGGTGTTTCTCACGTAACGGAAATGGAGGAAGTCTTTTTGACTACCTTGTTTCTGGTTGCGTTTCCATCGGTTGAAGCGTTAAAGACCACTATCACAAATTTTGAAAGATCGACTTACAGTCATTATGTAGTGAGAGATTCGCATATTGGCAGAAATCAAAAATCCTACATTAAATTTGTGTGTTGGCGAAATGGGCGTATAAGATCTAGCGGTTCGTCACAACGTATTAGACGGAGGAGGTAATTTGGTAAATTGTTTTATAATTTTTTTAATGAAGGGCTTCTATGAACACCCAATGTCCAGCATTTATGTTTTGTAAGATTATAGACGGCTATTGGACTGTTGTACGTGGGAATGTACATCACAATCACGAGTGCAATTCCCTGAGGTACCAGGGTAATTCATGGATGCGCAGGTTAACGGATGGGGAGTTTGAAACTGTGAGACCGCTGCTGATTTCCGGTACCGCTGCATTCCACATAAAGAATTTTGCTTACCAATCTTATGGGAAATGGCTGACCGCTCAAGATGTCTGCAATATGCGGTACAAAGTGTTCTCACACGCGAACCTTCCTGGTACGGAATTTGCCAATTTATAATGTACACTATAGGTGATTACGGGAAATTGAAAGCTCACATAACATCCTTGGGTGGGCTTTGCGAATACGAATTGGACGATGAGAACTGTCTATCGTATTTCTTTTTCATGACTGCTGAGCAAGTGAATTTGGCCGGTCACTTTTGTGACGTAATTGGTTTTGACGGGACGTACAAAACGAATAACGAGAACGTCCATTTATATCAAGTCGTTGCCATGGATATGAATTTTAAGTAAACTTGCATGGAGAACAGCATTCGTACACCCTTTCAAGAACCTCGACTAACGTAGCAGTGCCGTTTATACAACGAGGAACTGTTGATTTGGATGAAACGCTCAGTAACGATGAGGAGGAAGTAATTTCTATTAACTCCGAAGAGTTAACTGAACGGGACATCGAAAATGAAGAAGAGAATGACGAGAATCGACTCTGCGACATCTGTAATCTTGCGCAGCCTCCGTGTGAAACCGGTGATGCGGTTGGTTGGGTTTTCTGTAGATGTGAAGCAATGTTTCATACCTTCTGTGCCTACGACCCATCGCCGAACGTACGAGCAGTGCACTGTCCTATCTGTGGCGCCATTACAAACTAATGGTGATGACGTTCGACTGCGAGAACGAGTAAAGGCCCTTTTCAGGGCCACCCACAATTTGATTTCCATTATTTTTTATCTACTACTTTTCCGCCGCAAAGGTCAAGTGATTAAGCACTTATTAATGTCTCATGAATTTAGATATCCCTTAGAGATTAATAGTGGAAAAGCGATTATCGCTCATGTATTCGTAAACTTGTTTCTAACGTTTATTAGATATAAAGGTTAAGAAAACTTAGACAAGATTTTGTCATCTAATGAAGACTAATCTAGTAATTTTATATCGAAAATAATGTGATTAGCGTTCATGTTTTAGTAACACATTTGTAAACTATCTAATAAAAGTACATTTTGAGTACATTTTAATAGGAATATTTTAAATGAGTGAAAATCGTAATTTTGTCGTTAGGTCAATAAACTTATGATGACATTTATTAGTGAATGT